AAAAAACATAGTTGATCGTGATGCCTAATGATAATAATAAAAAATCATATAAGTTTCAATTATTATAATGGGTTGTCATTCAAAATAACAATAACAACTATAAAATATTGAAATATAAATATAAAAATCTTCATATAATTTTAAAAAAATAATTTCTAAAATTCTATAACATATTTCTTTATTTAAAAAATTTATATATTAAATTATGACCTTTATGTATCATTTAATTTATCACTTTGCTCGAGGCCTACACGATGACAATTGGCAACGGCAATGGCTATGTAATATGTGGATGCATTGATCCCACACACTTTAAATATTGACTTAATAAACATATACAGTTATACACTATAACTGATAAACACATATATATAATATTTATTTAAATGAATACATATTTTTTTGATGATTGCATCATTAATATTATTTAGCTGTAGTATGCATGTTATGTCAGTAAAATTAGTACCATTTCAGTCAAAGATATTTTAAAAATAATAAATACCATGCAGAATATAATTTAAAAACATCAATAATTTGACCTACTTTTTCTGTTTATTTAACATAACGTAGTTAAATACACACACACTCAAAACACCTCAACTCTGTTTAATCCTTTCTGCCATGACGACAAAATGCTTTAGTATCACGGCCTCCAGAAACTGGTGCCTCCGATCGACCTTCTCCAGCTCCGGTCTCCGATCAACCGTCACCGACCTCGGCGACGGCACCACCATTCATTGCTGGGTACCCAAAACCCGAAAAGAAACCCGACCCGATTTGCTATTGCTCCACGGATTGGGAGCTAACGCCATGTGGCAGTGGGGGCCGGATATTATCCCTCGATTCGTTCGTCACTTCAATGTCTACGTGCCGGATTTGGTGTTCTTCGGCGACTCGTATACGACTCGCCGGGAACGATCTGAGTCGTTTCAGGCTCAGTGTGTGTACCGAGTCATGGAGGCGAACTCGGTGAAGAGAATGAGGGTGGTGGGGCTGAGTTACGGTGGGTTTGTGGCGTATAGTCTGGCTGCGGAGTTTAAGGAGGCGGTGGAGAGGGTGGTGATATGTTGTGCCGGAGTGTGTTTGGAGGAGAAGGATTTGGCGGAAGGGTTGTTTCCGGTGAAGACTTTGGAGGAGGCGGCGGATATATTGCTGCCGCAGACGCCGGAGAAGATGAAGGAGTTGATGCGGTTTACTTTTGTGAAGCCGCCGGTGAAGACTCCCAACTGTATACTTGTAGACTTCATCGACGTAAGTTTTCGCTATTTCCACACTATAATTATGTGTTTTTTTAACTACATTTTTTAATAAATAACTAAAAATCTTACTCGTTTCCAAAAAAAAAAACTAAAAATGTTACTAATAACTATTTTAGCCAAAATAATGCAAAATTTTACTCAGAAAATATATATTATTTAATTATCAATTAAGCACGACTATATACAAAGTCGTTGGAAATGCCTATCATATCGTAGTTTTTTTTTAATTTATTTATTTATTTATTTATTATTATTATTATTATTATTATTATTATTTTAGTATAAGTAGTTAATATATACAATATGATTATATAGTTTATATATAATCAAAACAATACTCAGATATTTGAATATATTTTAGACGTCTTTCAACTCGTTTGGCCTATGTCTCATTTTATTCAACGTGGTAGACTTATCTCCAATTTACGTTTCAGTTTTGAACTTTTTTTTTGGTCAATTTTAAACAATAACATGGTTTTCTTTTCAATTAAGATATATGTAAAAAGTGGTAATATTTGGCAACATAATGGAACATGTTTACATAAATTGATAATAAAAAGTCCTTTTCATTGCATGTTTTGGAACAAACATATACTTTCGCTGAAGAATAAGAGCTATTAGCCACAAAATACCAAATATGTTTTTTTTTTTTTTTTTTTTTTTTTTTTTTTTTTTTTCTATTATGTAATGAATTTATGCAAAAATCGAATTTATATAAAAACTATAGATATAGATGGCATATAATGGAAAAAGAAGAGTTAAATGCTACATTTATGATTCATTACTATTTACATACTAAATAGTGATAATAGAGCATGTTGCACCATACTTTTCTTCTTTTGATCTCTACCTCATAACAAAATGGTCACTTTTTATTATTTTAGTATTCTCGTTAAACAAATTAAATTAAATTAAACTCCTTACATTAATTGCCAATATTTCAACCTTATTGATGTATAACAAGTGTCATTATAACAATTGGTATGTTTGACACTTCACAGTTAAATTTATAGTTTGTGGAAAGTAAAAAAAAAAATGACTATTTTGTGAAAAATCTTATGTGAAAAACGCTAAAAAAACCAGATCAAATATAACATAAATTGTTGTATGCAGGAGATGAACAAAGAACACGTAGAGGAGAAAAAGGAGCTGATTCATGCTCTATGTAAAGACCGTAAAATTTCCGAAATTCCCAAAATACCCCAGCCAACAATGATAATATGGGGCGATAAAGATCAAGTTTTTCCCTTGGAGTTGGGTTATAGATTAAAAAGGTTTGACTTTCAGTGTGTGTGTGTGTTTGACTTTTGAAGTCAAAGGAGAGAGAAATGACTAATATATATTATATTCTATAAAAAATGCAGGCATTTGGGTGATAATGCAGATATGGTGGTGATAAAGAATACAGGGCATGCTTACATTGTAGAAAAACCTAAAGAATTTTACAAACACCTAAAATCCTTCCTACTCCCTCAAATCCCCCCTCTTCCACCACCAACCACCACCAACACCACCACAACCGCCGCCAACGGCCATGCTAATTTTACCGTCGTATCCCCACAGTAAAAACACGAGCAAACTGACCAGATACACAAGGTCTCCACTCTCCAATCCTTCAAAGTTTTGAACTTTTTTAACTCTTGTAACTCGAAATTAATTCGTGTAATCCAAAAGTATTTATTATTATCAACTGAAAAACTATTATTTATCTCGCTAGAAGTAGAATATAATGATTAGACAATAGACAACCATATTTTTTGAACTTTACTGTGTTTACCATTGAACTAGAACTGTGTTTATCATGTACTGAACTGGAACTGAACGTGTTTTTTTTACTGTGTTTACCATGCATCGAACTGGAACTAAGTGACAAACATACAAGCTATATGTATATACCAAAGATTCAACAAAAATCTAACATAACAATCTTGAGACATTGCAATTTCATAACATGGATTAAAAAAAAAAACAAATGAACCATAAAAGTTGCTTTATTTGCTCAGACGGATGCTAATTCTTATCTCACTTGAGGTTCACCAGCTCCTGTGAAAATTTATAAAAAAGTGAGAAACTTATAAAAATTTATATAAAAAAATATATTAATTTCTTTTTTTTTTTTTGGTTTACCTCCCTCCTCTGAAATATTTGAGGTCCAAAGAGTGAGATTATCCTTAATCAGTTGCAAAATCAGAGTGCTGTCCTTGTAAGCTTCTTCATCTATGTTATCAAGTTCAGATATAGCTTCATCAAATGCTTGTTTGGCCATGTGGCATGCCCTGATTGGTTTAAAAATAATTTGTTAAATAAAATTATATTTATAATAGAAATTGGTAAATGACTAATCACTAATGACAGATTGATTAAACCTTTCTGGGGAGTTTAATATCTCATAGTAGAAAACTGAGAAATTCAAAGCCAAACCAAGTCTGATTGGATGAGTAGGTGCCAGGTCAGATGCAGCAATAGCTGTTGCAGCCTTCAAGAAATAGCAACATACTTTCATTAATTAATTTATTTATTATTATTATTATACCATTTTATTTTTAAAGTACAATGAATAAAAAGAAATAAACTCAAAGTAAATGAAATAACCTCATAAGCTTTCAGAGACTGATCTTTAACCTCCTTATGATCTCCACTTATTTTAAATTCAGCCAAGTAACGAAAGTAATCACCCTTCCTGATAATATTAAACTTTTTTTAAAAATAAAAATAAATCACAAAGGTCATTTAGCAAAGTATGTGTGATATTCAAAAGAAACATACATTTTATGATAGAAGACAGCAGATTCTCCAGATTTTGTTGATGGAAGCAAATGGTGATCGATTGTTGCAAGTATGTCATTGCATATAACTGCAAGTTCATCTTCCACTTTCTTCATGTAATCCTTTATCTTTTTCACATTTTGTTCATGGCCTTTGCCCTCTTCCCTGTTCTCAATAGATGATAGTATCCTCCATGCAACTCTTCTTGATCCAATCACATTTTTGTATCCAACAGACAACAAGTTTCTTTCCTCCAAAGTCAGTTCCACATCCAGCTTTGCAATGGATTTCATTGCTTCAACCATCTCTGAGACATTAAACAAGGAAGTTTCAGAAAGTGTGAGAACATCAATGTCGATCAACTTTTGGTTCTCATCTAGTCATATACACAGGCTTTTGAAAAAAATGTGTAAATAACTTTCATGTAGTGTAGAAATAGATACGATTATATTAGAATCGATGTGGCTATATGAGCGAATTCAAAGTTCAAACAAAACATCGATGTAGATATGTAATCAGCATTGTTCTCATAGACAGAATCGAGCCACAACTCAAATGGAACCGAAATTAGAAGGTGCATAATTCTCGATTTGTGATCGTTATAGTTCAGAAACATGGAAATCAACAGTGAATTAAGTTCACAGATGCGTAAAATTCGAATCTGATGAAAAAGCCCCAAGGAATCTTCATAAAAAATGGATGTACAAGAGGTTAAAAGTGATAAAGCACAAAAACCAAAACTAGAAAACGAACACAAGGATTTTTGCAATTTGAATCACCTAACAATCACCTCGAAACTTAAACTAGAAAAATCCGCTGGTATTTGATTGTGCAATTACCAGCAAAACTGAAAATCATGGTGTTTTATGAAGAAAATAGCAGAGTAAGGAAGAAAGTAAATATAATTACCGTCGTATCTCTCGGCTTGCTCTGCAATTCTAGCGATGTAAACATGGCGATCTCGCTCCTTCTCCGTATCCATGGTGTCTGCAAAACCCTTGTTTTCAGTTGGAAAACTAATGAAATTAAGACAGGGAGAGAGAGGAGGTGGTGACTGTTGAATTAAGAGGACAATGGTCAGCATCCCGTCCACTTTCACTTTTTATTTATTTTTTAGTCCTTCTACTTCTCCATTTCTCAAAGGGATACTGACTTGAGAGATTTCTCAAAGAGATAATGACTCCATAGTTAAAATATTTTAACTTTTTGGTTACTAAATTTCTTTTCGTGATGTGTTTACCTTTTAACTTGTTGAAACATGTGAATGTTATTTTTATAACCGTTGTTAATCTGTTATAAGGGTAAAATGTAAACAATTTCAAATAAATTAAGGGTAAATCAGGTATGAAAAAGTTCAACGATTAAATGCAAACAAAATTAAAAGTTTGTTACCCTTTCAAGTCATTATCCCATAAACGGTTCTAAATGTTATTAAGGATGAGCATAAGCGGGGATATAGAGGTTACAAAAATAAGGATGTTGTAGTAATCGTGTGATATACCTTTATTGTATAAGGTACCAGAAACAACACTTAAAAATGCAGTAGGAGCGGCTTTAATCACAAAGAAACCGAAGGAAAAAAATATGGTGATTTCAAACATATATTTAGGACATAGACGACAATTTTCACTCTAGAAAGGTGGAGACGATCGTTATAGATCATACGAGAAAGAGAGAACATATACTTAGGACATAGGCAACAATTTTCACTCTAGAAGATGGACACGATCGTTGTGAAGATAATGCGATTTTAGATCTAAATGAGGTTTTTCTCTTTTAGATCTAACATCGTATTATCTTCACAACGACCGTGTCCATCTTCTGGCGTGAAAATTTTCGACTATGTCCTAAGTATATGTTCTCTCTTCCTCGCACGATCTACAACGATCGTCTCCACCTTCTGGAGTGAAAACGGTCGCATATGTCCTAAATATATGTTTGAAACCACCATTTTTTCCTTAAGTTTCTTTATGATTGAAGCCGCTCATATTACATTTATAAATGTTGTTTCAGGTACCTTATACAATAAAAATATATCACACAATTACTACAACATCCTCACTTTTATGACCTCCATATTCCGCTTGTGTTCATCCTTAAGAACATTTAGAACCATTTATGGGATAATGACTTAAAAGGGTAAAAAACTTTCAATTTTGTTCACATTTTGTCATTGAATTTTTTTTCGTGCTTGATTTATCCTTGAATTATTTGAAATTGTTCACATTTTATCCTTATGACCGACTAAAAGTGATCATAAAGGTAACATTTATACGTTTCAACAAGTTCAAGGGTTAATATATCACGAAAAAAGTTTAGTGATCAAATGTGATAAAAAGCTAAAATATGTTATCCTCTCAAATCATTATCCCTTTCTCAAAACATATCACAACATTTCATCTTTGTCTATGGGAACTTGACAGAGATTATGTGTTATTAAATAATGTAAACTAGAGGTGGCGATCTGCATTGTTTGCAAACAGCCAATATATGATGTTTTTTTTTTTTTTTAAACTAGAAAAGATTTCCCCGCATTGCAGGGTTTATAGGGTATTCGTTTCGTATCTAGATGTGCTCAATCTGTAAACGTATGTTGATTTGAGAAATATATAAATCGGGCCCTATCATTGAAATTTTCGAAAAAATAAAATAAAATCAACTTTAAAACTTTCCAGCCATATAAGCAATGTACTTACATCTCTTTACATGCAATAATCGCAACATACTTACCGTTTCTTTACTCATAATAGCAATGTACAATGGCATCATACTTTCATTTCAAAATGTAAAAAAAAAAGTACAATGCCTATATTGAAAAGGAGATGCCTCAAGCCAATGACTGAATCAAAGAGTTTTTTATCAGCTTTCCATATCTTATCAACTGCTCCAAATGACTTTGCAATTATTCCACCATCTTCTTGTGTTGCACCTGCTCTTATGCTTGCTCCCATGCTCGTAACTAAACAAAAAACTATTTTTAGAAATATTCATATATTCCCTTTTGCGTTTTATATTTAGAAATAGTAGTTCCATTGATTCGTAATGTCAACAAAGTATAAACAAAAGTGTGTTGCTATTTGAGAGGACAAAATTGTGAATCTAATTTTATATTGATCTTCAAGTTTATTTCCTTTTCTAGTTTTTATTGTTTTTAGTAAATCAGTCACTGCTTAGGGTTTCTTTAGGGCTATTAAGATATCAAATACATTTTCTTTAGAACATTCCAATTCCATAAACAAAACAAATAAAAAAAACACCTACCTATGGATGCCGACAAATAGAGGAGAATCTCCCAACCAAATTTCTTTACAAATAAGATAATTATACTTGATGCCTAAATTAAACTTTTTTTCAAAATTTCCTGTAATATATAAATGGTTAGGGGGGAAATATGTAAAGTCATGTGTTATTTTGTATCATTAAAAAACATAAAAGCTAATTAGCTCTATCATGTATCAATTATAATAAGTATATTAGTTAAAATTTTGACACTTTAAGACCATAAATTTCCTCCATTCACTGTCATAAGATGATTGGATCTATTGAAGCCACTGATTCTAAATATGAATTGCCACTTTTCTCGATTTTGCATTTTTCAATTTGTACAAAAAAATTATTATAAAGTATGATAGTTAATAAATAATATTGCAAATCTCATTGAACAACAACAAACTTTCATTGATTTTATCGATTTCATTAGACTTGCAAATTGAATTATTAAAATAATAAATAAAACCTTTAAAGTTCTTCAATGCCACAAATGGTGGCAGTGTAAATCTGTCCAATTAACAAAAAGTTTTTACAAAATGTAAGTAATGAAAACATTTACATGAAAGAGAAAGGCGAAATAGTAGTTCTGGTTAACCTGTTTTTGATGGCAGCTTCTCATTGTCTAAGCGTTAGTGTATCAACTATAAGAGTTATGACTTAAAAAGCCATCCTTTTCAGCACTTTTCACAAGTTGAGCCACAACATTTTTGTCCTTATACACCTGATGTTAATACTTGTTTGAAAATTGATAATTTTTTCAAATTAATGTTGAAAAAAGAAAGAAGGGCCAAATGATGATTTTGCTAACATAAAGCTGGAAGAAACAGATTCTAGTTATGGTTGAATGAACCTCCTCAACACTTGAAGTTGCTCATGCAGAAAGGAGATATTAACTGATAATATGATGGTATTGTTGAAGCTTCAACCCACCAGTGACATCCTCAACCATATTTGTTGGTCCTGCATAGAAAATAACATCATCTTCGGAAATGAATGACTTTTCATATGAATTTGTATATTATATGTAAACAGTAAACACACTGAAGATGTTAACTCTACTATTAACAAAAAAATATTATTAACTCTTTATTTACCAAAAAACATATATATTAACAAATATATTACCTTAAGGATTGCAAATGCACCATTTGCATTACCTGCAAACCAAATTCCACTATTTAGAATCTCATTTGTTTTAATGATTAAGAAACAAAAATAGCCAAAAAAATTTAAATTGAGAAATTGTTAGCATAATTGGATAGGTTTCAAAGTATAATGTCCTACTATGTTCTAAAACTAAATATTTATCTTAAGCTGGAAGAAACAGATTTCATGCACAACCTCTACTCGTTGAGTTGGGGTCCCTAAACTCGTCGAGTAGAAGTCATAAATCATGCATGCTGACTAGGTTTGAGACGACGAGTTAGGGCCTCCAACTCGTCGAGTTCCCTTAATAAAATGAATACGAAGCTTTTAAAATTATACATGGGATTCGGGATGTTATAATTCTCCCCTACTTGAACTAGACTTCATCCTCGAAGTCTGTTGCGGCGAACAGCTCTGGATAATGCTCCTGCATCTCTGTCTCTGGCTCCCAAGTCCAGTCGGATCCCCTCCGATGCTCTCATTGTACCTTTACCAAAGGTACTTCCTTGTTCCGTAGAACCTCATTTTCCTCTCTAGAATGGCCACTGGCCTCTCCACGTAATTTAGGCGCTCATCGACCTGTATATCATCCAATGATACCACTGCCTCCTCATCTAATATGCACTTCCGCAATTATGAAACATGGAAAGTGTTGTGGATCTGACTAAGCTCCTCTGGGAGGTCTAGTCTATATGCCACTTTTCCAACCCTAGAAATGATCCTGAATGGCCCAATGTATCGGTGACCCAATTTTCCCCTTTTCCTGAAGCGGATCACACCCTTCCAAGGTGACACCTTCAGCAATACCATGTCGCCGACCTAGAACTCCAGATCGGATCGGCGTCGGATGGCATAACTCTTCTACCAACTCTAGGAAATTCTCAACCACTACCTAATATGTTGAATATTATCGGTAGACTGCAAAACTACCTTGGTCCGACCTATCACTCTATGGCCGACCTCGCCCCAACAGACTGGGGTACGACATCTCTGCCCGTACAACAACTCGAAAGGTGGGGCACTAATGCTGGAGTGATAAGTATTGTTGTAGGAGAACTCCATAAGGGGTAGGTGGGAAGTGGATGATAAGCTATACTAAAATGCAGCCGCGTACCCAGCTCCTCATGGAATGTTTTCCAGAAGCGGGAGGTAAACCTAACATCACGGTCGGTAAAAATAGAGAAAGGAACTTCATGGTAAGCAATAATCTCGCGGACATACACGTCGGCCAGCTTCTCGGCCGACGAGCTCTCCCGAATGGCCAGGAAATTGGCACTCTTGGTCAATCGATCCACGATGACCCATATAGCATCAAATCCCTTCACTGTCCTCGGCAACTTGATAATGTAGTCCATCGTGATCTGTTTCCATTTACACAAGGGAATCTCTAGAGGTTGTAGCTTTTCATGTGGCCTCTGGTGCTCGGCCTTGACCATCCTGCAGGTCAAGCACCTCGCAACATACCAAGCGATTTCTCGCTTCATGCACAGCCGCCAGTAGCTCAAACTCAGATCCCGGTACATCTTGGTGGCCCCTGGGTGAATGGAGAAGTGAGACTTATGAGCCTCCTCCAGAACCATCTATCTGACCCCACCAGACATCGTAACCCATACCCGACCACATCGGGTCAATAATCCCCGACTGTCCTGCACAAATCGGTGTTCTCGCTCCCGATCCTCTCAAGTTTCCAGTTCTCTAGTCGCATACCCTCAATAT